GCAGAGGCATAAACTGTAAGTGTACACTATTAATAAGCCAATCCCCATCAGTTCTCCTCTCTGACTATTCTGTTCCAAGACAGAGACACTCTGAGGTTAAGCTTACACCAGAAAAAGATCTCTTGGGATAGCTGTGCAGGTAGTACAGCAGTACAGAAAAAATGCAACATCAGGAGGTGCACTTTGTGCTGGCAAACCAGTCTTTTAGACTGGCTTTTACAGGGCTATACCTGGTGTTATGCCAGCATAGGCATGTCGTAACCTAACCATTTACTACTGTGGTGGAAAGCTTCATCTACAGATTTTCTCCAGCAATAGACATTGCCATTGGTCATTTAGTGTTGACAAATAAAAAGCAAACACAAGTTTAAATGTCAAGTCGGACTTTCCTGCAAGCTAGCAGAAGAAGAGTGGCAAAAGTACTGCATTTGCTGCAGTTTGACCCACCGCTTACAGGAGTCTGTTTGTGTGGGTCATGTTGGACAACATCTTTCATCTCTCCCACAGGTCTTGCCAGCAGGAATGTCATCACCTTGGGATCTTTCCTATGGTACTACTGTTTGATGATAGTCCACCTACTACTTAATCTAGTATTAATCTAGATAATCTAGTATTCCACTTTCTGAGTTTCTTCAGAACCTGAGTACTGCTGCCAAGGAAAAGTGGTATGTAGAAATGGAAAGCTGATGATGATCAATAAAGCAGCAGTTCCTGTAAATTGAAAAATAGGCAGAAACAAGGAAAACATCTGAACTAGGGGAGCATGCACTGCCAGAAGAGAAAAAGTCAAGGAATACAGCAATCCAGAGATCCTAGATGGGCCTTTGAGAAACCCGGTGTAGTGAAAAGTGTCCCGGCCCATGGCAGGGGAGTTCAAAGTAGGTGATTTTTAAGGTTCCTTCCAACCCAAACCATTCTATGATTCTATGAAGAAAAGCAGAGCCAGCTACTGCAAAGCCCAAAGGAAGCACAGAGGAGAAGCATTGTTCTGCAGAAAAGGAAGTCCATCAGGCACAAAAAGGAAGAAACAAAAAAGACTAATGAGTGGCTAGGGATGAAGTCTGAATGTGCACCTCTATTTACACTTTCAGTCTAACTCCAGATGAACATCATTCTCTTTTTTTACAGGATGGAAAATGAAGATCAGAAATATGGAATCAATGCTATAGAGACATAGACAGGGGAAGAACCACACAGCTCTCAGTCCTGGTCGCTAAGTACTAGCTACAGACTGGGCAAACCGAGAAAGAAATGAATCATTGTATCGTCAAGATAAAGCAATTTTAAGACTCAATCTCATCACCTGGAAGCAAGGCAGAACCCCCTGGAAATATATCTGTTGAAACTTCTTATGAAGCTGCAAAATTTAATTGATCTAAGCATCTCCAGTTTTTCAATTACCAAAACGAACCAGATCATATACCAGCAGAGGCGTAAAAGAAGCACAGTAGAGGCAGAAGATATGTATAGTTATATGCTGCTATACTTCTCTGCTTAAGCATTTGGAATTAATTGCCAGCTGCTCTTCATATCTATGGGAGTTCAGCCAGGACTTTAATAAGGTCAAAACATGAAACAGGTCTCAAGTCTTTCTGCCCACATGACAGTCTCACAGCAAGGCCTTCAGACAGGTCTCAGGACTAGTCTCTAACAGAACCAAAACCAAGTAGCAAGCAGCAAGGGTCTGACAATGAGATCTAAACTTTTCCTTCACAACTGAGTCCTCTTTGGTACTGGAATAAAAGGAGAGGAAACAATTCTTTTTCTGCTTGTGGACCCTTTCATTCTTCTGTAGGGAATTGAAAAAGATAAAACTCTAAGGACTAAGAGTTGTATTGTGTGAAAAAATTACAGCAAGGGAAGTTGGACAGCATTATTAAGTTATGGCAAGATAGTTGTGAGTGGGAAACCAAAGGGTGAGACTGTAAATTCACTACCTTATGTCACATAAATAAGCCACTTTTGGTTTCTCTGTTACATTTTGTCTCATTTGAATGAAGTTCCTTCCTCTTTTGGCCCAATTCAGAGTTTCTGTCTAGCTTTATTCAAAAGCTGTGTTGTAAATCCTGAGTTTATTGTAGCTTTTCCTTGCCACCTCACCTTGTATCACAGGGGCACACAAAAAGGACAAAATGTGTCATCCCAGGGCTGTGTAAGGTATTAGTATGTTTCTGGATTTGCTGCTGTCACTTGCAAGTGTGACATTACCAGCAAGCTGACATTAGGAGAGACAAAAATATGATCATTTCTTTCTGCTCCCCACAAAAGGTCTGATGCAAAACTCACTGGAATTGCTGGAAATATAAGGGGCTTTGGCTCAGACCCAAACAGACCAGCCAGAAATAATGCTGAAAATGTATTTGGAACTGAGATGATACAAAGGGACTAATCCTAGTCACCTTCCCTTAGTGGAAGGCTCAGAGTGATTTGAATTGGCTACCTTCTGTTGTGAATTAAGCTCAAAGCCCCAAAGGCAACTTGATTTCAGCCATCTATCTTTGCAGCCTCCTCCAAACTCGATCCAGAGGGAAAAGTGACTAATCCTATTCAGTTGCTACACTGAGCTAGTGCCATCGATTAAAAAGGCTTGGGGCACAGGGAAAATGAATAATCTGGGTCAGTTTTGCTCTGCAAGTCCTTTGCACAACTCGTTCAAGAAAATAAAAAAAAGTAAGGACGCAGCGAGAGGAAGCACTGATAAGAAGGAAAGCTCACCCAATAAAGTGCACACACTTCACAGGAAAGAAATACAAGCAGATCAGTGAGGTTTTGTCCAAATTCCTAAGATGGGATGAGATTGATTACAGGAGTTAGTCCTCCTATTTGCTGGAAAAGAGGATCATGTTTTACACTCTTTTGCAGTTCTTCCATGTCCATGCAAAGCTGAGAGGCCAAGCATGGTAGCAAGGCAAGCTGCAAAAACATTTCCGGGCACAGAAGTCGGCTTCTTGGCCCCCCCTCTCTCCACGGCTGTGGGTATGGCACGGCTAGCACAGGAGAACAGCCCATTGCTGATCCTAGCCATGACCTAGAAGGTGAGTCATAATATGGGAGTTGCCACTGTAACAGCTGCTCAAGCGATGACATTAGTAGGTGCTTTCAGCAAAAGCATTTTTGGGTAGGCTTCAAAGTAAATAACTGCTGCTGCTGGTTATCGTATTATTACTTTGAACAGGGTTACCAAGGACTGTGTGCTGCAGAAAAGGTTAGTTTACAGATAACCCCCTACCAAGGTTATTAACATAATATAGGAAAAGTGCCTGTGTGATTTTATAGCACTCTTTACATTTTCCCTGCCCCTTATTACAGAAGTGGAGGGCTTTCATTATTAATAACAGTTGTCTGACTTGACTTTGGTGCATGTTTCCTGTGATGACAGGAAAGGGCTGGAGGTTTGTTTGTGGCGAAAGAGAAGATTTTCTGTTTTAAAAGAGTTGTTCCATAAGCAGTAAAATTTGTGAAGCCTGGTCACCTTGTTTTGTGTCCTCTCATCTTCTGCATCTGCAACCTGACACATACCACCATATCGCCAGCCCCATCCTCCACAGCCCCCTGGGTCAATTAGGAGAATGCTGACAGAGCAGCTGGTTGCTGTTAAGTCTACAGGAGCTGAATTCTGACCCCCTTTTGTCGAGGAGGGGCATGAAGCCATCAGATCGCCCACCTTACCTAAATGCCATTTTTCATGAAGTTTTACGTGTCTTCAAGGCCATGGTCAGTGGTGGAGATGTCAAAGCTCCAGTTACTAGAGGGAAGAACGACTACGGCTTCCTAAGTGTCATTCCTACAGGTCAAACTAGACAGGTTGTCTCTGCTAGCAAACTGCTTTTGCAGGACAGTTCACTGAGGCCTCATACATGGTACCACAGGTAATAAAGACTGAAGAGGTGGGTTAGCAGAAAAAAAAAAAGCTCCAAAATCAAAACTCCCCACTCAAAGACCATGTAAGGTTGACACTCCAGTGGAATTCCTTCTGTTGTCAGGGTGATGCTCAGAGTGTCACTGGGGTGTATGCATGGCTCAACCAGGAGGCTGGGCGACAAGTTTGGGGAGTGTAGGTAGTTTTGGGATGGATCAAGAGGAAATGAGGTGCTGCTGAGATATGTGCAGAAAACGAGAGAAAGAGAGAAGATAAGGAGAGAGAAGCAGCATATGCAGTGCTGCAGAGGAGAGGGTAACAAGGGGAAAGACTGTTCCTGCATGGATGTCCCCTCTAGGGATACCTCTGACTCAAGGATTAGGGGATATAAATGGTGAAAGACCAGTGCCACGACCAGATCCTTGTGTTGAGTCACAAAGTGTGAAGCTGCTGTCCCATGGAGCAGGGGCACAGCATCCCCAGGCAGCCCTGCTAACAGCTGACCCCAAAAGAAGCCACAGGCACCCCATTACCCAACCCAGCCTTTAAGGTTTCATCCCCACTCAAGCCTCCAGCCTCGCTCAGGGGCAGGCTCCTCCCGGAGGCCGGCTTCACAGAACCAGTCCCACCGGCGGGCAGGGGGCCGGGTCCCACGGGAGCCCGAGGGCCGCTCGCCGCGGGGAATGGGGAAGGCTTCCCATGGCCGGACCCGGGCCCGCCGCAAGCCGCCGCCCGCTGGGGCCATCTTGGCATCCCGGGAACGGGCAGAGCCCGGCAGCGTCAGATGGGAAGCCCGGGCTTCAGGAGAAGCCAGCCTCGGCTGCCCCCCCTCTCCGCCCCCGGTCGCTGTGAGGCGGAGATGTCCAGCCTCGGGGTGTCCCCCCGCCTCCGTCCCCCGCCGCTCCGGCGGCTTCGGTTTTGTAATTGACCCCTGGGGACTCCCCAGGCGTCATGTCGCAACAGCGCCCTGTCGAGCCAGCAGCCAGTCGTGTGTGCCTGCGGATCACCTCGAGGTCCTCCCGTGGGAGGACTCCGATCCATTATTGCGTGGTGGTGACAGTGCAGTGTATTTTCGGCCACTGAAGACACCAAGTAACTCGATAGGTGATACCTCGATAGGCTGTGGAAACTGGAGGCATCAAGCCAAATGTGCCCCGGGTGAGGTCGGTGGGAATGCCGGTCCCCATTGTCCATTCACGAGTGGGTCCGGCACCTCCAGGAAGAGCCGCGGCTGCCCACCGGGGCTGCTCCCCTCGCCCACGCCTGGGCTGGGGGTGGTGGGTGGCTCCAGCCAAATTACTTTTCTCCGTTGGGTGGACAGGGAGGGAGAGATGGATAGCAGAGGTTTCGGGGAGATGAGTAAATCGCCTCGCGAATACAAACACGCTAGCGAATACAACACGCCTTTTCCCGCAGACGGGATCCTCATCAGGAGACTCGGGGGGGGGGGGGGGGGGGGGGGGGGGGGGAAATCCCTAATAATTTTACCTTTGGAAAATTGAAGAGTGTGGGGGTGCGTGTGTGGGAGTGTGTGTTCGTGCTGTCGCTGCCAAGCCCAGGATTTTGTTTTCTCTCCCAGCATGCGTTGATGACATCACGAAGTGCCCCTTCTTTGTGTGTCAGTGATGTCACCAAATGCAGTGTGTGGGACAATGGAATCCTGAACTCCGGGCGAGGGCGAGTGGGAAGCGGCTGCTCCTGCTGCTGGTTCAGAGCTGAGTCGAGAGAGGGGAGGACACAGCTGCTGCTTTGGGGCTGAAACAGGTGAGAGACAGGAAAGCTGCCGGGGATTCCTTTTGCCTGGATTGGTGGGGGCGAGGGGGCTTTGGGATGGGCTCTTCTGTTTTTCCCCCTTATTGCTTTCCAACTGAGACAGGTGAGAAGTTGCTGCTGCTGCCAGACGGACAAAGCAGGTGAGGCAGGGGAGTAGCTTTGGGTTAGACACAGTTGTAAGAATAGGAGGAAAGCAAACAGCCCCCCCGCCGAGCCTAATAGCCCCCTCTCAGCTTTAAAAAAGCAGCCCCGGGAACTGCCCCTCTCCCAGCCACCTGCTTCCACCGCGTCCTCGCGGAGCTCCCGCACGGAAGCAGCACCGGAGCCGGGGAGGGCGCCTGTCCCACCCCCACGACACCCCTGCAGGTTACTTTTCAGAAGGTCTCAATTAAAAACTCACGTCCCCCTCCGCGCGCCCCTTTCTCCCTTCCCCGGGGGCGGGGGAGGGAAGGGGGGACCGTGGCCGCCGGGATCCCCCTTCCATCCCCGGAGCGGGGGCTCCGCTGCCCGCCCCCCGCCGGCCCCCGCTCCGCGCCGGGTGGCGCCCCGGCCCCGCCGCCCCCCAGCCCCGCTCGGCGGTGGGGGAGGCAGCCAGGGAAGCCATTGCCTGTTTAATAGTTGCTGTTGCAGCACTTCCGCTTCTCTCCCAGCGAGAGAGACACGAGTGGCCAGGCCCAGCCGCACCGAGGAGGAGCAGCCAGACACAAAGGGAGAGGTAGGGGGACGGGGCACCCCCCGCCGCCCTCCCCGGGGGCAGGGGCGAGGGGCAGGGCCGGCCGCGGCCCGGCGATGGGGCGGCAGCCGGCGGGGCAGGGGGGTCGCGCCCGAGGCTGTCAGGTATCGCTGTGCCCCCGGCCCTGCGGGCCCGCGGCTGGGGCAGCTCGGCCGGGCCCCCCCGGCTCTCGCCCGGCGGGGGCCGGGGAGCTCCCCGGGGGCCCGTGTCCCCAGGGGGGAGGCGGCCGTGTGCTGGCTTCCCGGGCCCGCGGCTGCCCTCCTCGCCCCTCCCAACCCCCCCGAACTCTCCAGGGGTGCCCTGCCAGCCCCCCCATCCCTCCCGACGGCTTCTCGCCCCTTTCGGGCGCGGACAGCCCGCCGTGCTCGCCCTCCTCCCCCGTGTCCCCGGGGTGCCCTCATGAGCCGTGCTGTCTCCCCCTGGGACCCCGCTGCCCCCCTCCCTGCCACCGGCTTCCCTGGGCCCTCCGTTCTCGCCCCTCTTAGGCCCTGGCCCTCCTCCCTCCCACGTACCCCCCCAGCACAGACCCACTGTTCCCTTGCCCCTTTACTGGCACATGCCCCTCAGTGCAGTGGGCCTCGGTGGGTCCCATCAGTGCACCCCACTCCCTGCTTAGCCGTTCCCCTTCGTTTGCCCTCTTCCTGCTCCCTCCCCCCACGGCTTACAACACTCGATCCCACAGGCAGGGGTTATCCAGCAGGCAGGGGTTTCCCCACCACAGGTCACAGATTCTCCAGGGTCTTCCCTGTGTTGCCAGTGATGCCCCACTTCCATTTTAGAGCTGGCGATGGTCACCTCGCCAGCCCCATCCCTTCCTGCCTCCCCCACGTGCCTCCCGGGAACCCAAGGGACCGGAGCTGTTCCATTTTTATCTTCTACACCCCTAGGCTGGATAGTGGTGGGTGGTGATGGCTCCTCTTGTGTGTGCAGTTTGGGGGAGATTAGAAGGAATTGCTTTGAGCTTCCCTGATCCTTGCAGTCGTCCTCGTTCCAGTCTCCTCTCATTTCGCACTTGCTTTCTGAGAGGAAGCTTTAAAAATCCTTTTCCCCCTGCTCCTCGGTGCTCCTAGTGCACGCAAGGCTACTGCTTCTCCTGCTACGGCTGTAGGGCCTGAAGAGGAAAGGGAGACATGAGGATCCTTTAAAAGGAGCATGACCCAAACACAGAGCGAGATTGTCAGCAGCCTTTCTCTGTGTGTGTTTGTGTTCACTGTTTGTTCCCCACGCCCCATGGTGTCTCCTCTCCAGGTTGGGGTGTGTGGTGGGGGGGTCGCTATGTCGGATGACGATTCGAGGGCCAGCACCAGCTCCTCCTCATCTTCATCCTCCAACCAACAGACAGAGAAAGAGACAAGCACGCCTAAGAAGAAGGAAAGCAAAGTCAGCATGAGTAAAAACTCTAAGCTGCTATCTACCAGTGCCAAGAGGTGAGACTGCAGTCAGTTTTCTCACTGATTCACTGCATCTTTCCTCCTTCCTCGTTTTATTTTGCTCTGTGCCCCCACTGCTCCCTTGCTGCTTTCATTCCTCGTCTCTAGCCCTTGTGCTCAACCTTTCCACATGAATCTGCTATTGTCTCGCATTTTTCAGTGTCTCAGTGCAGTGACTTTCTGCCCAACTTCACTGCTCGCTGATCTCTCTTCCTGTTTATTCCTCTGTTCCATCCCAAATATTTTCCTGTCTTTTCTTCCTCTGGGTTGTTATTCTGACCCTCAGTTATTTCTGCTGTCTTTCCTTTTTCCTTATTGGCATCTGTTATCGGGATGGTGTAGGATTGACATGTAGACCTTAATTCTTTCTCTGCTGCTGGAAGCTATGTGGTCCCAAGTAAGGCATTGCATTTCAACATCAGTTTCCCTCTCTGTAGGTTGGAATTATCTAGACTGGCTTTTTTACTTTCCAGGACTGATTTGGGGATTAATTAATGTTTGTGAAGTTTTGAGATTGCTTGCATTGGGGGAGGGCACTCCAGTGCAAGTGGTGTAGTATAGCCCCAGATCTTTTCCAACAAATATGTTACTGTTATTTTTGTCTGCTCAACACTTACATTGAATTTTCTGTATATGGTTGGATGCTGACTAGAATAAATAATCTACAGCCAGTCCACTTGTGGACATTCTGCTCTAAAATAGTCTTTGCTCACAGCACAGAGTGGGTTGGGTTTTTTTTGAGAATTAAATAATTTTTGTTCCAGAATAATGTGTAGGGAGAGATGCCTGCATAGAATAGTAATTCCAGAACAGCAATGTCAATCAGTTTTCTTCACTTGGACCTACTCAGGCTTTTTTTTTTTTTTAAATAAATTGTTACCCTTTCTTATTTGTTCTGTGTTTCACCTGAATTCAGCACCATCCTGCTTCAGGGAGCTAAGCTGACAAATGGAAGTTTTCAAGCAAACTTGCGGTACTTCAGTAAGAATAATAAACCATCTCACTGAACAGCTTTGCCCGGCAGCAGAGAGGTTGTATCAGAAGGTGTCAAAAGTGACTAGGGTTTTATGCAAAGCCCCTGCTGTTGCAACTGAGTTCTCTGTGGCTTTGTAGAATTTAGGCAGTTTGGTTATTCCAGAACTCCACTCAGCAGGTTTCCATGGCAAACTGACATAGATATTGGCAAATGGTGTTTACGTGTTGTGCCCTTCACTCTTTTAAGAAGATTTTAAACTGCTTAATGTGGAAAGGCTGTGGTTCTTGTGTGACAAGTGGAAGAGAGGCAGAAGATGCTGTCTGAGTTTAAAGAAGGGAGGCAGACTGAGTGCTGGGTGGGGAAATCTGGAAAGGAAGCCTGAGTGACAGTAATGGGACTCCAGGGAAGGGGATGATAGCTGGTTGGGCGTTTTGTGGCAAAAGCAGCATAAGCCCAGAATAGTCTGGGCAGGGAGTACAGGGTGTTGGCTGAACACGATGGAGAAAGGGAGCATCTGGAGTGCTGAGGGAGGAGACCTGGGGATGTGTGGCTCTTGAGGGTGAAGAGAGGGGAGAATTGAAGGTGGCAGGAACGTGCAGGAGCCTCGGAAATAGATATTCGCCTTCCTTTAAGTGTCCTTGGGAATGGCGCAGTTATTGACTCCCTCAGGGCTGATGTTTTTTTTTTTCTCAGGTTGGTGATGAGAAGCTGTGGGGAGAGGGGGAGCCAATTTGGCAATGACTGTTTCTGTCAATCCTGTAAGACAAAATTCCTTTTCAGACTGCAGTTTCCTCCTAGCACTTGGTTCATCACATTTGCAGAGGTTTCCCCTCATTTATAGGCTGGTTGTCAGAGCAAAGCAGACAGACTTTTCCACTGTGTGGCTGGCATCTTTATGGGAGCATGCAGCAGTGCACCTCTCTGGGTTCAGTGCATGATGCCTGAGTGCTTCTCTCCCTGCCTCTGTAAGAGGGCAGGACACCTGTCCTGCTTAGTGAGTTTGGACTGGTGTGAGGCTTCATCTGAGAGTGCCTCTGTCTTGTGTCCTGTTGCAAACTCAGTGACAGTATGTCTGTAAGGTCTATGTGTTAGCTGCTATCCCACACAGTGACTTACTTTTGTACCTTCTTGCTTTTATTGCCACAGGATTCAGAAGGAATTGGCTGACATCACCTTAGATCCACCTCCCAACTGCAGGTCGGTGTCGAGTCCTTCCCTGAGGAGGGTGGGGGAAGGTGAGGGGCTGAAGTATGCCTGTGTGTTGTAACTGCCTTCAGAGGCTTTCGATGGAGCAGAGGAATGGCTGTTTAGGTGGCCTGCAGTAATTTTGTGAATGCTTGGATGACATTAAATAGTTTCCAGGTGGGGACACCTCCAAAGATTCTATGTGTTTTCATAAGTTTTCTGTTTGTTTTGGAAGTTGTTTTGTTTTTTTTTAACAATTGCATTTCAATCAAGTTACACTGCTTGCGTGTGTATGTTTCGGAAACTGGTCTGTAAAGAAGAGTGTGAAAACTTTCTCCTTGTTTGTTTTTTTTTGTTTATAAATCTAATGCCTGACTGCACTAATCTTATATAAATAAGAGTCCTGCCAAGGAAGCAGAGAATAGTAAAATGCTATGAGGTTTTTAGCTCAGAGTGTTCTGTTGTGAACAGCAGCTCACAGTGGAAGAGAAGCGTGAATTCGTCACTCAGTGGGTGCCCCACAGGAGCACACATCTTAGCTGATGAAATAAAAAGCAGGGATATTCTGTTGCCCTTTACAGAGCAGCTTGTTTTTAAGTGTGTTTTAGAAACTTGTACTATTTTTTTAAAACATCTAGCAGGTTGATTTGAGGCATTGCATGGTGTCCCTGAGCCTCTTTGCATTTGGAGAGGAGACTGTAGTAGCGTAACATCTTTGGTTGTGCTCGTTCATTCAAGAGGAAAGAGGCTTTTGGTCTGGTCTGTGTTCGCTGTAGTTGCCAAAGCACAACTCTGTTCCCATCTTCTTGCTGTAGCTGAGGTTTGATGCCTCTTGATGTTGGTAATAGCAGAAATCAGAGAAAATTATGTTTATAAATAACTGTTCAAATTGGTCTTTTTAGTATTGAATTGCTGCCCACAAATGTATGTGAACCTTTTTATTGAAGCTTTTTGCCACTGTTTGTGTGCAGAGAGGCATTAGCACAAGAATTAGCCTGACAGGTCCAGAGCCACCCTTTCAGTACCAGTCCCAAGGATCATTATTAATGAAAGGAGGGACTGGATGTGATGTGTGATGTCTAGTCTGATACTAAGATTTTTGTGCTGTTTGGAAGATAACCAGTGAGCTCGGAAATCTTTAGCTGTGACAATGTTGTTTTAGTGACAGTAATGACTTATCTCAATAATTCAAGAATTTCCAGTTCTTGGGCTGGAGGCGTCTGTCTTGTCTTCGTCCTGGCTCTGTGTCAGGATGAAGTCCACATGCTTTTCCTTCCTCCTCCCACCATAACCTGATTTTCATGGGAAAGAAACACAGAAGCACAGCTCAGAAAGGCACTGTGCCTTGCTGTCTAGATAATGTGAGTCTGGATGATCAAAGTGCTGGGACTGCAGTGAACTTTGCAAATCTATCCAACAGTTGTGATAGTGAATGAGTATGTTAGATTGCACGTTTCATCTGAAGGTTTGTGTAAATAATATTAGAACCCTAATTTGTCCTTTTTTCAATTGGATTCATTCACAGGTAAAGATGAGCTAGCAGGCTACCTGTCAAAATAGAGTATAGTTTTGATTTTTCTTTTTTAATTACATAGACCTTTGAGGATAATGCACTTCAGGGGCCGCATAGTAAGTTTGTGTTGTTTCAGCCTTTATAAATATTTCTAATGGTAAAAACTGGATCCTAGTGCAAGTAGTGATGATTGATCTTCACCCGTAGTGGAATTACAAGTATTCTGCATTCCTTCTGACCTTCCGATGGATGAAGGCTGGCAACTCTTGCAAATAATATATGAAACTGATGTAGTTGTTACTGTCCCTTAATATGTTGATAGGTAGGAAACTGTGAGTGAAGGGGTTTGGTGTGTGTGTGTGTATGTGTGACAGTGCTGAGAGTGGCAGAGAGCACCTCTGCTTATGGCTCACAAGGCTCCAGTTGTGCAGTCAAGCACTGGGAGTTTGCTTCTGTAGCAGCGGGTTTGTAAAAGGGTGAGCAGGTGCTGATTGCCACAACAGTGAGATGAGTTTCAACTATCACAGTTATCGGGAAAGTTCACCTCTTGTGGATAGAGAAACAGTCAGTTTATGACTGTTAGGATATTAAGCGAGTGAGAGGCTCTGGTTGCTGCGTGATGTTTAAGGTTGCCAAAATTTGCTCTTGGGAAGCCTGCTAACAGTGACACTGCTTTCCTTTATGTTTTTTCCTTCGTATGAACATCATTGGCATGCTGTGAGGGAGGTATTAAATACATAGTTTGAGAACTTAGTTTCAATTTCCTGCCTTTATGACTTTGCTTATTCTCACCTTTCCTCTGACCCCCAGCCCCTCATATTTCTGCTCTCTTTGTGCCTCTACAGATGTTTTTCAGGTGTCACTGGAGGGGAGGCCAGTCCTCTTCTTTTAGATCTGACTCTCTCCTGCAAGTTTAATCTCAAAACTTACATATTCAGGGAGTTATACACGATGCCAAGTACTACTTGTTCTGTTGTCAGCTTCAGGGGTGCCACAGCATCAGAAGTCACATTTGAAAATGTGCATCTGAAACTGTATCCTGTGTTATGTTGGAAATGTCATAATCTTTTTTTCTGGACATTTGTTCTTACACACCTCACCACCATCCTTGTATTTTCCCCTGTTCCATGCCCAGTGTTTGATAGCAGTTCATGGCTGGCTGTGCTTTAATTTTTGGCCTCATTGCAAAATGCTGTTCTTCTTTCAGTGTTATTGCAGAAATGAGAGTTCAAGATATTTAGCACATCCCAGAGCAGCTCTGCATATTGAAAGACAAAGCTTTAGGTTGTGAATGATTTTTAGTAAAAGTTTTCTTCTTATAAAATACCACATATAAGATGCAATTACAAATAATGACAACCATTTGATATTTAAAAAAAAAAAGCTTAAAACCAAATGTTACATTTTTATTTTTGTAGCTTGCAGTGGCTGTATTTTCATGTGTGTAACCCACAGATCATCTGTTTAAAAAACAAAAACCAAAAAACCCAAACCCCAAACTCACTCAACACTCTGTGATTGAGCAGCTGTGTGGGTTTTAGACATATGTGGGTAATATGAGGGGAAATTTATCCCAGAACTTCCTCTCTCCTCAGTACTTTCCTTGCTTCTGGTTTTCCATAGCTTGTCTATGTCCCCCAAAAGCTTACCTGTGCTTGTTACTCTTTTACTGCTTTACCTCTCGAAGTCTGTTTGCCCCTCCTGTCTCCCCCCCAGGCTGCGATTTTGATTTTGTGTAGGCTAGTGCAGTTACTCGTGCAGAGGTGCAGAATATGTGCATGGAAACACTCTGTTTGGCCTGCATTCAAAAAATAGGTTTTTTGACTTGAAGACATTTTCTAAAAGGATACGTTTAATACATGTCATGAAATCATGGGTTCCTGATGGGAGCAATGCTGTCCTCATAAGTGTCCTAGTGTAATATATGTGTGGCAGCTACTTCTGAATGGATTTAAGTCCTCTTCATCACCTTCAGTAGTCTGCTGCTCTAGAGGTCTTTAATTTCTGCAAGTTGGTTTGACTTCTCATATTAATACTGAGTTATGAAAGTTAAATGTGGCTTTCAAGTTCAAAAGGTGGTTAGTGATTAATATAAATTGGAGAATGACTGTTTGGACCTAAAGTATTTTAAATCTTTTAAGAGTGTACCTGGTGATTTCTTCTCCTACTTTGTATTATATCAAAAAGTTATAACTCTTGTTTTAGGACTCAATGAAGGTACCTAGAGACTTTTTACTTTTGATCTTCTGTATATGTTGGTGACAGAGCAGTATGTCATGTCTTTGCTTTGAGTCAAGGAAGTATGTATCTGTGACTGTCCACAGATGTCAGAATATGGTTCCATCTTGATATGTAGGCAGTCCTATCTTTGCTGAAGACGCTTGTATTGTGAAAAAGCTTGCTTTCTGTCCCTGTGATAAAGTTTTCAAAGCTTTAAGAGAAGTTAATTAAAGCTTTAGGTACTGTTTATTCACTTTGTGTCATGTATTTGATCTATGTATTTAAGGATCTCCTTATAGTAAATCTGCTTGTTGAGATTATGAAAGAAATGTTTTTTCCCACTTTTAGGGTGGGGAGTTACAGCACACAAAAACCAAGTGAGTTGTCCAGGGTCACGCAAGAAGTCTCTGGCACAAAGTGGAGAAATGAATGTAAATCTCCTTTGTTTCAAGCTAACTAGCAGCTGAGCTGTTCTGCTGGAACTGTGTGCATCAGTTGCATTATGAGCAAGGCTTTGAATTTGAGCTTTATTGGGTGTCTGGTATTGACTGTATGTAAGCACGGTAATTTAATGTTATTTCTCCCATCTGCGTAGAGGGACCAAAATGGATATTAACTAGAATTAATGTTTTTTAATCTTTCTTACCCAAACTGTAACAAGTTTGTCTCCACACGGCTCATTTAAGTCCACATAGGCAAGACCAGCTGTTATTTAAACAAAAATAATTTTCAAACACTTACTGAAAGAGGCATTTGCCTGCAAGACTTACCATTGCTTCAGAGAAAAATGCCATCACAAATTCATTATTTAGATAATAATAAAATACAGTTGTGTTTCCTGGCACTTTCAGCCCGGTTTTTGTAAATTCACAGAATAAGGACCAGATCTCCCTGAGAGTCTTGTGAAAGTTAACTGTCATCACTTAATAAATATGTCTTGGTAGAGATGGTGGGGAGAAGTGCTCTGCATTATAATGTATGGAATATTAATAGTTTTCAAAACTTTGCAATGTGGAATTAAAATTTGTTGGCTTGGAAGAAGTCTGCATAAAATGTATGGCTCAAAGGCAGTTTTGAACTCAATAGTTTCATATTATAATTAATATATTTCATCTACATACCATGTAAGTCTGGCATTTGTCTTGCTTACATTTGTTTTTTTATGGTACTTGTAATTTTTTGCAAATGTAATTTTTCAATACTTCCAACTCCAATAATGCTTGAAGTACTTTTGCTTTTAAATCTAGTATATTATCTAAGGATAATATACTGTTTAATA